ATTGCTTCGATCGCTGACCACTTTTACGCGCGACTAAATCCGCCGGGAAAAAGTGACGATTTCGATCTCAATTTTTTCCCCTGCCCATTCTCGCGAGGCATCAAAGTGACGACCTTTCCGTGTGTGTGTGTGTGTGTGTATGTGTGTGTGTATGTGTGTACTCTTTACTCAATTAATTATGTCCTTGTCTCTATCTCGTCAAGCTTTCATAGCGCGAATAAAAAAAAAGGAAACAGATCGCGCGGGGCTGTTCGTATCGGGAAAACCGTTTCCATCCACTTTTCCCCGAAGACTCGGGAGAGCTCTCGGCTCTCAGACAGCTCATACAAATGGCACATGAGGCTCGTCGTGTCGCGAGACAAAAATCTCGCGACGCTCGCGCGATTTGCAAGACGTGGGAAAATTGTGCAGCACTTAAGGGATCATCCGTCGGCCGCGTACGAGAGTGCGAGTGACGAGCGGATTATCGGGGAATCGCATCAGGGCGTCCGCTGTCGCGAAATAAGCGCCAACGGATTGAATACAAACGAGAGATTTGTGTAACGAACAGGAGAGGCGTAAGCACAGAGAGAGAGAGAGAGAGAGAGAGAGAGACGGAGAGAGAGAGAGAGAGAGAGAGAGAGACGGAGCACGTTGCGCCTTTGGCCGCAATGCCGCAGTATGGCCCGCGAATTTGACACGCTCGCGCCTTGTGACTTGCACGCGCGGTGGTTGTTGCGCCGTTAGTCGGCGTTTCACGCCTCGCGCGTTTCAACCCTCCCACCGCCAGAATGTATAAACGCGTACACAAACGCGGTCGATGCGAAGTTACGGACGATTCACACATCTCGAATGGGGAAGCCTTGATAACGCGACCGGCACGTCTAAATAGCCTCGGCCAACGAGCGTGCGCGCGCGCGCGCGAGCGATTGTTAAATCGCAATGTACATACTTGCGGCCAGAGAGAACTGTGCTCCAATTGCCGTCGGAATTATTATTGTCGTGTGACAATGGACGCGAAAAATCACTCAGCTCAACGGCCCGAATTAAAGCGACGATGAACGGACCAATCGCGCTCTCATTGAAGGAAACGGAGAATTTCCGCCGCTTGCGAATACTAAATTCGGTTCTAGCAGCTAGACATTGTCTGTGTCGTTTCCATTCTAACGAGAAATTCTTCATCCTTCTCCTCCGCGCAGGTATCTGGAGCTGGTTCCTTCGTTTTCTCTCTTTCTCTCCGTTGTTCCTTTTGTCGTCTTTGTTGTATCACGGATTTATTCTTCATTAAATAACGAATGATCTTCATCGTTATAACTCGGCATGTTGATTTTAATACGCGGTCGCCTTGCGTCTGCCACGAGACTCTCCTCCGCGAGAGAGGAAGACAAAAAGTCGCCGGGAATTGTCTCCCCTCGTCTTGCATTGTCTTCTACGTGCGGCAGTTATTTGTGTTGCGGTAACGCAACACTGGGAAACTCTCCCCCTCCCTCTCTTGCTCAAACATTGCGGGATATTTGAATTCTGCGCGATATCCGGGAAGAATACGTGTGCACTCGGCCGATTAATCTGGTCGCAACGAGTTTACGTATGGAAATGAAGGGACACGTCGCGTCGGACGACGCACTTGGCGAAAGAGCTCGCTCGACGGGAAGTCCCGACGGCGAAAAAAGCCGCGCTGGAGAAAAGAATTGCGGAGTCGTGTAACATGCTTTCATTCGTTCATTTATCATCCGGCCGACGACATAATAGACGATCGCTCGACCACCATGGACTCTTCATCGCGACGATGTTTTAACGCCGCGCGCGCTCGGCCCGGATATACACATCGCGCTCTCTTTCTCTCCCTCGAATTTGAACGTAAAGTTTTACCGTCTCCCCCAATATGACGAACTTGGACAATATTGATTCTCGGGCTCTTACGGCTGCGGCGAACGCCATTAACGACGTCGTCTATGAGCCGTAAAAGCCGCATCACTCCGTCAAATGTCGGTCGAATTCGAAATTATAAATCACGTATATTACGAGGGAGATTGTCCTTAATCTACAGACACTCGTTATTCAGGATTCGCCGATATCCCCTTCATAATTTACTTTTGCGTCCCGATTATTACGACTCCCCCCGCCTCCCACTCTTGGCTATTCGCAGTGTTTAAGCTTTAATCGTCTCAGAGAGAGACAGAGAGACAGAGAGAGAGAGAGAGAGAGAGAAAGAGACAGAGAGAGAGAGAAAGAACGCTAGATATTTATCTCTCTCTCTCTCTCTCTCTCTATCTCTCTCTCTCTCTCCTCGTCACTCCGCTCCGACGAGTTTCCTCGCCCTCTCACCCTCCCTTTCCCGGAATCGCTGCTCGTTACCAATTATTAATTCTACAACAATATCAATTCGCTGAACTTGTAAGAAACACAATGCATTCGCCATTGATATACGCGCGCTCACGCGCTCCCATCTCGCTGCCGGCGCGGGCGTAGCCATTAGCATCAGACTCGACCGAGCCGATTAATTGGAACACATTGTACCTGGGAATCGCAGGTGTAATGAAAGATAATCGTTCCCGTCTGCTCGGGCTTCCACCCAAGTTACATTACCGTCGACACGAAACCCTCCGATTCCCTATTAAAAGTATCGCAATCGAGCGGGAAATAGCGCCGCCAGCCGTAACGCAAGATGGATGCGCATTTCGGCCGAACGGGGCGGATTTAATGTCCCGGCTCGCGATTCTGGACTGGATCAATCGTTGCGCCGCGCCGCGCATAATATGGCGATCCGGAATGGAGGATAACAAAAAAAAGGCGGCGTCGCGCGCAGGATGGACCGGCAAATCGATCGCGGATCTTGCTCCGTCGCCGCTGATCGCTCGTTCGATCGAGCGCGACTTGCCCGTGCCGGTCCGCTGCGAGTGTAGGAAAAAAAAAGAGGGAAAAAAGAATGCACGTCGAGTGCATGAATATTCGGCGATCGAGCGCGCGGCGCGCTCCCTTCTCGTACGTGCGAAACAAATCGACCGCGATTGCGGTGGATTTTATTGCGCGGGATTCCTTTAAAAATCCGCTCCTCCCTTAGTGATTCGATCGGCGCCCACGCGCCGATCAAAAGCGCGCGTCGTTTCTGAAAGAAAAAAGAAAAAGACAAAACGTCATCGAATACCGCGTCTGCGTGTAATTATTTTCGCTCGTAAAAAATATTCTCCCGGCGACTGCGAATTTCGACGGGATCGGTTTAAAACGCGCCGTTATATTCGCCCTTTTTCCGTATTCGGGGGCGGGCGAAAAAAGCAGGGGAATATAACGAAATGCATTATATCCGCGCGCGCGCGCGCGCATCTATAGTGACGGAATGCATTTCGGAATTTGACGAATTCGATGAATTTCGACTCGAAATCGCGGCCGAGAGAGCGGCGCCGGCGGCCGCGTTGGTAGGTAGGGAAATGGCGGGTCGGATATCGCATTTTTAGAACAGCCGAAGGAATGGATATCACGGTTACGAGATGTGAATATACCGGCCATCACGAGGTAGCGATATGGAGCGTATAGAGCGGATGAGATTTCCTTAGTCCGGCGAAATCCTTCCACCTCCGGCGTCAGCGCGGCTAGCGATATTTTTTCCATCCGCCGCTTTTTACGGTCGCGTTTCGGGGCACCTCCGTTTAAATTTCAATTTCGCCCCCTCTCCCGGCGGGAGCGGGGCGATACTTCCCTCCCTCGCACACACTCTCTCTCTCTCTCTCTCTCTCTCTCTCTCTCTCTCTCTCTCTCTCCCTCTCCCTCGCGCGAGCGCGCTGTTTTGTCATTTTCGCGCGGCTCGAGATCGCGATCGCGCGCGCTCGTGATTATTTCCTGAATTATTGAACAGCGCGACGGCGGCGTAATGCAGACGCGCGCCGGCGTCTCTCGGGTAGTCTCTCGCGCGCTCGTGTTCGCCGACAGTTAAATTTTACGCGATTACAAGCTCCCACCGCGAGCTACTCCATCCGCGATCGTCCGGCGTTTAAGCGTTGTTAAAACAAATGATGGATCGTTTAATCGTATAAGTTTCGCGGCCGTTCCGGCATTTAACAACGTCGTTTGGAAGAACGATCGCATCCGGCCTGTAATTCGCCGCCCCGAATTAACGACGACGACGACGACGACGACGACCACGGGCCCGCGTTAGAACTCGATCCTCCCCCTCCTCCCTCCCGACCCCATTCGCCGCCGTCGCTCCGTCGTCCGCGGGGCGCTCGCGCTTTTTTGCGCTCCCGCCCTCGTCAGGCGGATCGGACGACGCGCGCGCGCGCGACGCGGCGCGACGCGCGGCGACGACTTGGCGGCGTCTCAAGCATCGCAGGAATTCACCTAGTAATTTTAGTGTCGACTCTCTCGACGTGCAACTTGCGGATGATATGCGTCACGAATCGCATTCGACGTGCCGCGTGTGCGCGTCCGAGTCTGAAATTTATCTTTCGCTCTCGAGACACTTGGCGCGTCCCGCTGACGCGCGTCGCTCGACTTACGTCAATCTTAGCGCGCGCGCGCGAGTCCCTGCCGTACTACCTGCGGTCGCGCCTGCGGCCGCTTGAGCCGCGGCTAATTAACGGGCCCCCCGAGGATGTACACGTAACGCCGTGGAATTTATCAGAATTATTTTCGATCCATTAACTCTAGCCGCGCCGCTCGCGCGATTATTACGAATTAATCATCAATTTGCGCGCGCGCGCGCGCGCGCATATGTCGATTTAACGGTGCGCCGTCCTGGCAAATTGTGACTCGCGGCTGGAGAGGCTCGATGGAGAGGCTCCCCTTCCTCGCTCCTTTTCGCTCTCTCCTCGACTTTTATTCGTCTCCCCGCCGAAAAAAAAGCATTCTGATCATCGCGTCCGATGGTTTATCCTCGCGCAAACGGCCGCCCGCTATTTTTACCCCGAGAGAGAGAGAGAGAGAGAGAGAGTGCGTGCCTGTTCGCCCCGTAATAACCTGCCCTGCTAGCGCGCGCTGCGCGCTCGTTGTTCCTTCGGCTTTGTTGCGCGCGTTTTGTTTCCACTCACCTCAGTCTGCTGTGCTCCGTGTGCGGCGATTCCTCCGGCGATTTGTAACTGTTTCCGGTCTGCAACAAAGAACGAGACGCGTAATGAAGATCCTCCTCCCTCATGATCCGCAAACGCTAGTAGAGTAAAAGAATCGCGCGGATTTCATGCGCGCCTTCTCGCAGCGGTAATCGCGAGGCAACCGGGGGAGTACAAAACTGCGCGAACGTAAAAGAAATTCGCTCAAATCGCGTCTCGATTTGAGCGGCGGAGAGAAAACGAGAGAATGGCAGAGAGCGCGCTTACACGTGGTAAAAAACACGCTTTGCTACTTCGTTCGGCGAACAAGAACACCAGAAACACTCGGTCCGGAAACACTCGTAAATAATCGAGCGAATCGATGAGGGAAGCCTCGAAAGATCCGCTGGGGTGTCACTTAGCGTCGACACGCTCCGAACAATTCATGTCTGTCATGTTCGGCAAAATCTTTATTTTTCTCAAAGTCCCACCCCTTTGGACCATCGCCTCGCCGCTCGCTCGAGTTGTATATACGTCGCCGTGGAGAGAAGCCGTCGAAAAAAGCACGGACGTGTCGCTTCCAACGAGAGACGTGTGTCGCCTCCCCTTGAAAATAATCAACTACTCGGATCAGGTTCTCTCGGCGAGCGAGCCGGCTCGAGAGATTAACCTGATCAGCCGGCCGATCGTTCGCCGGTGCTGACGTCATTGGATCCTCCCGGGTGTCCGATGGCTCTCAGCGTCGTAGAATCGTGGCGTAGCCGTAAACGCCCGCCGCTTAATTCCGTCAAAATGACGAAGACCCTCGGTGAGCGGGCGGGCGGGCGGGGGAGGGGCATCGGTCGTTCGCGAAATAACATTCTCGGAAACGAAACTCCTGTCCCGTGCGAACACGTGCGTCGACCGTTAATAAATCGGCCGCGGGAAACAACGCCCAGTTACGACGACGACGACGACGACGACGGCGGCGCTGGAGCGCCACGAATTAGTTCGAGAGCAACATATTGCGAGGGCGTGCAACAACTCGCGCAACAAATGGAATCCAAGGGATTTCGCGAGAACGCATTGCGCGGCGACGTAATTAGAATTTATGTCGATTGGGGAGGGAAAGGAAAAAGGACGATCTCGCCCCGATAAGGCGGAGGGCCCCGAAGGGGCGGGGTCGGCCTGGCTCTCGCGGCCGCGGGGGCCGATGGGGTAGTATATTTTCATCGAGCAATTCGCGTCATAAATTCCTTCATTACGCGCCGGCGATTCGCGGATATCCTTCGAGCCGCCCTCGCCCCGTTGGCCGGAAGACGAGCATTAAAATGCGAGGGCGGCTGTGCGAGTTATCGACGATACAATTATGCTTCAGATCGACCGACGTCGACGTAGCCTCTCCACCCCCCCCCCCCCCCGCCGTCAACGTGATCGGCGCGCGGTTGCCTGCAGGAGAGAGAAGGTACGTCGTACGCGACGAGCCGATTTTTATGCCGATTATTATCCTGCGCCGCGCTCGGAGAAACGAAACCGAACCGCTCGAATCCCTCCCTCTTTTTCACCCCCCGCCCCCAATTCGCTCTCCTCTCCTCACCAGAGAGGAGACCGTTAGTCAGAGGGCTCGACGAGCGGGAAATGTTATTCTCGCGTAAATTGTGAACGCGGTTACACCGCGACAATCGAATTACCAGTTATGGAAATTCGCGCGTTTCGAAACAATGGTCATTATAAATACCAGGCGGTCGCGGCGCGATAGAAACGCGTATCGTAGATGATCATGGTACGAACAATAATGATTATTTCATTTCAATCAATCCGCGGAAATTGAACAGTTCTGGAACCAGAACGAAAGGACCCCGCCATGGACGGCTGCGCTCGTTACGTCACGCTCGATGAACGTCGATTTAAAACTACGTCTAATTACACATTGCATATACATGTATAAATCTATATATAACGCCGCGTGCTCGCAATCTATCCATTATTATAGTGCGTTAACGAAGTTGGAAATCAGTTTGATCGATCAGTTAAAGTCAATGATTGTTGAGCACGTTTGACTGACTGTTGATCCCGCAGCGATTTCACCGCGCCGATTAATGCCGACAATCGCGACCTTTGACATGTATCGCGTGGCGATGTCATGACGCTGCGAGATATCAATCGACACAGAGAGAGAGAGAGAGAGAGAGAGAGAGAGAGGGCGGTCGCGTATAAATATGCGTGATTAATCGGCCCGAATTTTTCGTCCTCGCGTCGTGTTTGCGCATTTCGACGTTATTTCCGCGAGCGGAAAATCGACCGCGGACGATCGGGATGCTTTCCCGGCGTTGTCGCGATATCCATCTTCCGCGAAACGACCGCTTCGATCTCGCTCCCCCGATCGCCATCGTCACCCCGCCGTTAATCGCGCCCCTTATCGGTTATCGCTCGTTCGCGACTTACCTACCGCGCGGGCATTTATCTCGTAATCCAGCCTCAAGTAGCGACCGTCTGCTCCTCGTAAGTCTCATTCCGCCTGCAATCTAAGATCAGCACTCAGTCGCCACCGTGCTCTCTCTACGGCCTCTCGCCGTCGTCCTCGCCATCGCCGGGCCGTGCAATCCGCACCGGAGTGAATTCTTCGTCCCATCCATCCGGGGACAGTCAATTTGTCCTTATTTTCTCCCTCGTCCGACTTTCACTTCCCCGCTCGACTTAAGTGTTCTTTTCCCTTCTCGCACCGCAGCGAGAGAGAGAGAGAGAGAGAGAGAGAGAGAGAGCACGCGCGCACACGGCGCCCTAAGAGCCACCCCCGGCGAAAGACGCGACGCGACGCGACTTTCACTCGATTGTGCCTCGGCCAAGTTGTGCTTGGCCCGAACGAGTAGCTCTTGGCACGGGAATCACTATCATCCGTTCTCCTCCCCCTCTTCCTCCTCCTCTCTCTCTCTCTCTCTCTCTCTCTCTCTCTCTCTCTCTCTCTCTGTCTCTCTTCGGGAGCTAGCCCGAAACGAGAATGAAGAACAAGAAGAAGACGAAAACGCGAGGGCTCCCCCTGTATCCGCCCCGACCTCCTCCTCGTAGTTGCTGCGTTCCGTATCTCCCCCGCGTCCCGCTCTACCGGCCGCAGGCCGGGAAAGCGGAAGGAGGACGAAGAATGGGAATGCGAGGAGGAAAACACCAAGTCCACCGGGGTCTACTGCCTCCGTACCGAAATACACTGGTCCGTAGGTCCGTGTCTATAGTTTACTCGGGCGACAAGGAGAGTGAAAGAGAGACAGAGTGAGATGGGGAGGTGGGAGAGGATGAGAGGGAAGGTTGGCGCGGGTGCTCGGACGACTCCGGGTTAAAGTGGCGTCGCATGTACAACCGCACCGGCGGGATATACGACACTGCGACAGAGCGGGCCGCTCCGTCGCCGTCGCCGTCGCCTCCGCACTCCGCACTCCGAGCGGGAACTGCCGCTCGTCGTTCGTCCCTTCCGCTCTACGTCCTTTCTCACCTACGATCTCTGTATGGCTCCGCCACTACGTTCGCTATTTTTCCCTCGAGTTCCACGGGATTGCGCTCTCTCATACACGCGCTGCCTGCCGCAGCCTGTCCCCATTGTCCATGTCAAGCGCGACGGATTCATTCGCAATTATATGCCCCGCCGGAGGTCAGAGCGCGTCAAATCGCTTCCCGTCGCGCTTTCGCGATTACGAGAACTCTCGCCGCGTAATTTCTACAAGGACGTAAGCAACGCGCGTTTCAGCTTCTCCGTTTATGCTCCGTCGCTCGTGTAAAGGGCTCGAGCTTCCTTCCGTGAAATATTTCAGCAGATAATTATTCTCCCTCGAAAGGGAAAGAAAGAAAGAGAGAGAGAGAGAGAGAGAGAGAGAGAGAGAGGGAGAGAGAGAGGGAGAGAAGAAGCAAAGACGGAAAAAGAAGTGAAAAAGAGGGGAGAGCATACGCAGCTCGGTTTAAATAAGTTCACGAAGGGTATTGAGATTCCTATCGTTTCATTATACTTATTACAATATCCCGACAGAGAACGTCAGGAAACGTAGAGTTCATTAGTAACTGTGCAAACGCGCGGCGAACGAACGCGCGCGCAAAGGAACGAAATTCCGCCGCGGAGAATCAACAGCACGTAGCTCTATCATCTTTAACGCGTGTCTGAGGAGAAATTCCGGCGAGGAGTGAGCATCGCGAATAAATATTTGTGAAATGTTGTACGTGCCAGGTGGATTTTCGGGGGCGCGACCGTGCGCGAGAGAGAGAGAGAGAGAGAGAGAGAGAGAGAGAGAGAGAGAGAGAGTGAGAGAGAGGTGAGGCACGGGGGCGAGTCACGTCCTCCTAGGCTGCGAGTTGTTCACGGCGTGCTCCGTGCGGGTTGGCCGCTATATAGCGATATGCGGTTGTAAGCGCGGACTTAGGATCGATGTGGAATCAGCCTAATCACCCGGAAGTGTTGCCAATGTCCACCGCTAATCCGATCGCAGATGTTTCACTCTCTCGCCGCCCTCTCGGCCCCCTCTAGCGGGTCGCCCTCCGGCCCGCTCACGCGCACTCATGTCCGTTCGCAGTGTTTGTTTGCGGCCGCGTTAGCGGATTCTAATCGCGGTTACTCCATTCGCGCCCTAAATCTGCCACAGCCACCAAACCGAGTACTTAAATCGAGTGAAACGTGCCGTTGTACAACGCATTTAGGTTAAAGCACCTATTTTCAATTAGGCGGCCGCTCGCTTAGGCCGATATATCTCGCCCGCTCCGGCGCTTCTGAGTCACGAAAATGGCGCGGTAACGGAAATTTCGTTGATTAATCGCGTGGACGACTTTTTGGCGATTTATCTTGTCGTCTCTTAATGGCGCGTTTTCATAAAACACGAGCCGCGCGCGCGCGCGCGCGCGCGCGAGGGCATGTGCAATCTTAATCTCTTGATTAATCCGCTTCTATTTTTAGCTGGGCCCCGTGTTAATAATAAACGGTACGAACGGCACGTTTCAGAATGTTGTGCGTGTTGAAGCTTGGTGGACCATAGATGTAGCACAAAAAACACGAAGCGATATAAGTGTCCGAAATATTTTTTCGGGGCTTTTTTCTTTTTTTCTTTTTTTT